GAGTAGGTAAACATTAATCGAGCGAATGTCATCTAATATGACTGATTTCTAACAAAACATGTATTGTATCAATTGAGAGCTGAACGCAACCATCTATTTGCAATACGTGCAAAACGAGGTTAATTGCATGATATTGGCCTATTGCATCATATTTGAACTACCCGCGTGCCCTTAAAAATCAATGTTTTAAATTCTATATAATGATAATGACTTTTTTGATTTTTGGAAATTAAGAGCAAGACAGATGTGATACAAGACAAGCATTGAGATGCAAGCTAAAGGCGACGCAAAAAGAAATTTGATCCAGGTTGCACTAAATATCTTATACAAAAGATGTGACTTTATAGCAGTACGTTTCATGTGACATTGAGGCTAGGCGAAGATTTAAGTTGAAAACTTAAACCAAATAGAATAGGAGCTCTTCTTGCCAAGATGCAAAGAACAATTTTATAGTCCAATTAACCAATTTTAAGATTATTTTACTCAGATACAAGGATCCATGAGTCATCAACATATAATCAACAGGCACGAGTATCGACCTGGGAAGAAGAGAGCTGGTTTCATTAATTTTTCCTTCCCAGGTCGATACTTGTTCTGTGGCGATATAATAAAAGCTTATTGCTTAGGGTTGCAGACATGTCATTGAGCATATATTAGACATATATAGACAATAAAAGAGGACCTAAATGAACATCAGGGAGACAACTATAGGGTAGCTTCAGAGCAGTAGTAGAAGGAGTATCTAGCCACATCCACCGAGTGCTGTCTATCAGAGATAAGACTAAACATGTAAGTAAATGTCATTACATATGGCAGATGCTTGAAGTTCAATGGGAAGAAACAAAAAGAACTTCTTCAATGTGCAGTAATACAGTGTGATCAACTGTATCATGCTTTTTGTAGCTCAGAAACTTTTTCAGTATGCCATGAAAGGGATTTTAAATTTTTTAAATTTTTTTTCCTTATTTTAAACAATTATTATAATTTTTTTATTTTTTATTTTAACCACACAAATACCATTTAAATTAACATATGATAAATCGATAGGATATATATTCTGTAAATCAATTCGCGAAACACTACTCGAGGACTTCCGGGTTTCTTAAACGAGGCCGGTGGGAGTTAGGCGTCTATGTCACTGTGCGGCTTTCAAGAAAAACATTTTTTTTTGTCGTTCATTTTTTTTTTTTTAAAATATGTATTAGAACCACATTATTAGAGAAAAATGAATATAAATAATAGGTATAGGAGGTGGATTGGTTGGTCTGGCTTATAGTTTGTCCTGAAAACTTTGTCGTATATTTCAATTCTTGTTACAGAGAAAGGATTGGTATTTTTTTAATTTTTTTTTTTTTGTTTTTTTTCTTTTCACAAACACACAATTGAAAATTAAATAGATGTGTTAAAGTGGTAGATAGATAGATAGATAGATAGATAGATAATAGATAGATAGATAGACCGTGTGGTGTGTTTAGATAGATAGATACCTCGGATAGATAGATAATAGATAGATAGATAGATAGATCGGATAGAGATAGATAGATAGATAGATAGATAGATAGATAGATAGATAGATTAGATAGATAGATAGATAGATAGATAGATAGATAGATAGATAGATAGATAGATAGATAGATAGATAGATAGATAGATAGATAGATAGATAGATAGATAGATAGATAGATAGATAGATAGATAGATAGATAGATAGATAGATAGATAGATAGATAGATAGATAGATAGATAGATAGATAGATAGATAGATAGATAGATAGATAGATAGATAGATAGATAGATAGATAGATAGATAGATAGATAGATAGATAGATAGATAGATAGATAGATAGATAAGATAGATAGATATAGATAGATAGATTAGATAGATAGATAGATAGATAGATAGATAGATAGATAGATAGATAGATAGATAGATAGATAGATAGATAGATAGATAGATAGATAGATAGATAGATAGATAGATAGATAGATAGATAGATAGATAGAGATAGATAGATAGATAGATAGATAGATAGATAGATAGATAGATAAAGATAAGAAAAAGTAAATAAATAACCATGCGTACTCGTGAATGGAATCATTTAGATTTTCAATCTGTATAACTTTTAACTTTTTCTTTAAGTTCTCGGAACGGCATGCACTTCGTCAACCGAAAGTACGGTATGCGCACTTCGCAACACTGGATGCAAAGATGGCGTGTGTGCTTGTAACCTTGGATACAAAGGCAGTGTGACTTGCAGCTTGAGTTTGTATTGAGTTTTTCTTCATTTAAATAATATTACTTTCATTATTATTTATCTATAATTATATATATATATACATAAATAATAAGTGTTTCAGACCATATAGTATATAAATTTAAATGTCATTTAAATATTAAAGAATAAAGCAAACAAAAGTTTAAAAGAATGTATAATTATTAAAATACTTTCAATGTTCAACTAACTCGGATTTTTTAACTTTTACTGCATTACCATGAAGGGAGATAATATTCTGCCCTTACGCAGATTCTGCTCGAGACAATTCTGCATCCGGTTGATAGAAACGGACCGCGTTGTAAAAGGTTTATTTAAATATTTGATTAAACTAAAGAAAGTTCGAACATGTTCTTATACTCAATATACAAAGAATTTAGTTAACATCCAGAAATTTTCATTTGTACATATTAGAAAGCTGACTACAATCCTCAAAGAAGTAAATTTCTCGAAGTTGTTAAAATGATGATTTTCAATATGATTATAACAATTAAAACTCCTGTATAAAAACCGCACACGAGCAGGTCCATCGGCGAAGATAAAATCATATAACCACTAGCACAATCACGCGAGCTTGCATTGCATGTTTTGTTATTGAATTTGAATGGCGAAGAGTGATTTGTTTTTCCTGTTTTTTTTTTTTGTTTTTTTGGGGGGGGGTTGTTTTTTTCCGAACCAATCAAATATTGTTTGGAAAGAAAAATTGCCTTAATATATACTTAAATTAAAAAAGTCAAAAAATCCTATTAAATTTTGCTTTAAGTCGTTGGAACATCATGCACTGCACAAAACGAAGCTACAGTTTGCAGTCTAGAGAATGCCGAATGTAAAGAAAGTGAGTGTGCTTGTAAGCCTGGATACTATGGCAACACGTGTCTCAAAAGTTTGTATTCTTTATCATTAATTTGAAATAAATCGTCTGTTTGTGAATGTTTATGTTAATTAGCAATATATCGAACAAAAACATATATTAGTTATATATAACTTAGCTACATACAAGTCATTACAGATTCCCAAATAGCATAAACGACTAAAAGCTTGATGTCTAACTTGTCTCAAAACATTTATACGTTTCTCTATCATTATGAATGTATGCAAATAGAATATATCTATATGAAAAAAAGACGAAATGACTAATAAAGTATCATTCATATAAATCAGCAATCATGCGATAGAAAAAATCTTTTGTCCAAAGGTACTTTATGTATATAGCAAATTAAGAAAAAATAATTTGAACTTTGGAATTAATTCAAGTGAAGAAGCTGATTCGTTCATGGACGAAAGTAATCATGCTAATTTACAGAACGTTGGCCGTTGTACTTTGGTGCCCGTCCATGCAAGAAAAGCTGGAAAGTCGCCATATGCACTCTACTGTATTCGTACGACGTAAAACCAAACAAAGGTCTCTTTATTATGAATAGCTTTGTTGTGCATTACAACATCGGATTCATCTTAACATCTGCTTTAACTTACATGACATGATATGATTTATTTTTTGGTTATTTATTGTATATGAAGAGATGATTTGGCAAACAATGTTTAAGTTTACTTTTCTACAGCTTCAATATTTAAGGTTGATTGAATTTATTTATATTTTGATCACGTGAATGTTTTTTCTCCGTAACGGTTTCTCTTTGGTTAATCAATCTTGAAAGAGTTTTCACGTCCGCGGCGATGGACTGCTGCATACTGCAAAAATTTGATCACAGTTTTTAATAATGAAATTGTGTGCTTAAATTCTGTTATTATATTAAACATGTATCAATGTGAAAAGAAAGAAAAATTGAATTACAAATCAAAATCTAAGCGCAATAATACGCAGATTAAGTTAAGAAAAAAATAACATTATAAAACAAACACATGGTGTAGTGAAGGGTACAAGAAACAGTTTCTGTCTTACTCTTTATGGTTCCCATCTTACCTTTTTCAGTTATTGGAAGTGATTGTAGCGGTAGTGCTGCATGTCCTGGCGATGCTAATACAATGTGTAAAAGTGATAAATGTGAATGTAAAGAAGGCTATGCAGACAAGGATGACGTTTGCACACAGAGTAACACAATATGATTCAAATACTTTTAAACTTTAAAAAGGACTCCACAAGGTGTTTTGACATGATGGGACTAGAAATATTTTCTGAGACTTGTGTACAGTTTGGTGTATGCCTAGATAAATTTGTATGCAAATTTGCAGATCATTTCCTTTCCACTTTTTCCACTCATTTTCTCACTTTATCGTTGATATTAAATTAAATGCTTGGATGTATTGGCCTTAGTGGAGCTCCTTCGAGTTTTTAAATTTCTGCCAGAAAAACAAAAGATACTTTAAAGCTAACTTATCTTTTCTTTGGTCATTTGCTTAATAACAAACGATTAAGATTCAAATACGTCGTGCTTGATGTACTTGTAGAAAATCACATTTTACGTATACTTGATGTAATGATCGCATTAAGTGTTAAAATAAATATATATTTATAATTAATTTCTTTTTAAATTCATTCTATGCTAACCGAATAAAAATATTTTATATATAAATACGTGTTTTTTCAGATGTCGATGGAATTGATTGCTCAACTGTTAAAACAGCATGTGACAATACTGAAAATGCCGTATGTGAAACAGACAATGGTAAATGTAAATGTAAATCTGGCTACAAGATGGATGTCGACAAATGTGAAATGGAGAATTCTGGTAAATTTTTTACCTTTAGATTATTTGCATATTTCAATCAATAACGGATAATGCGATATGGGGGTTGATTGATATTGTTAAAAGGGGATTTCATTGTAAACAATTCACGGGTTAATATCTATGTAAATATAGTCATACATTTTGACACAATACAAACTATATAAAATTCAACAATTTTAACATGCATACACGTATAATGTTTGTTTCAAGTAATTAACATGTTCATTGTTTTCATATCAAAACCAGGTCTTTGTATATATCTCTAATTATTATTTTAGCTGCAATGACCGGATATGGGGCGATTGTACTGGCGTTGTCACTTCTGGCATCATACCTTATGCTGCTCTAAGGGAAATCAAGTTTGTAAGTATCAATAATTTTTGAATACATAAAGAATAATTAGATTAGAAGACGGACAATAGCAGACTTGAAATTAAGATATGATTGAAAGTAAGTATATGTACATAAATTCATATTACAGTATTTGATAGATGCCTATCATAATTGTCTTTCATGTCAGTAATATGTAATATGGTAATTACGATAAAGAAGATGATTTCGTCCTTGTTATAAACAACAAGTCTTCCCACATTTTATATCATATTCCCATGGATATAGAGAAAGAACGTCATAATGTCACCTATTCAAACCTTACCCATAAAATATCGTAAGTACCTACATATACAGAGAAAGACATGCTGAAGCTAGTTTATAGCAATTTCTACGTTGATTTTGTCGCGAAAAAACACATTATAATTATATATTTATGTGTGATTCTATGTCTTTTTCAGGTTTGCTTCGTATGGATTTTCTATACTCTTCACAGTCCTTCTTTCCACATGTGAAAAAGACTTATTTTTAGACTTATGATTCAATTTCAACATAAGATGACAAAAATACCTAATGTCCATATTTCATAGCTCAATACATTTTTAGTCATTTCGATCTAGTTTATAAAAAAAACGCATCGATTTAAAAGTTACGGTGAAGTTAACATCCCGAGAAAAAACTTTTAACGAGTGATAAATATATTTCCTTTTCTGTTACACAAAAGCCTTTAAATGATTCATTTTATTATCTCGCACACTAGGACTGAAATCATAACAACTTTTCACAAATTGTTACATAATTAACTGATATTAACCAATCTCCTGACAATGAACTAATGAATTGTGAAGTTACTTACTTTTCCTTTGAATGTATGTCGATATCTTCCAGCAAAACCATAAGTGAACTGTGCTTCAATTACTATTTATCATAGTTTGGGAACCTTTCTGTTGAAAATGTATCAGAAATAAACCATATACATATACATGCACAGTGCGTTAACTGGAGTGCAGGTATTAGTTACCGGAACTCACGGGCATGCCCATTTTTTGGTTCATTTTTGCTTGGGTTTACTTATAGTGACGAAATGGGACAGGAAAAGCATATTAAGATGCATGTTCATTGGTTACTTTTTTCTGGGGTTTCATATTGTGCCAAGAGGGAACGTTTTTTTATGTTTGACTATGCTACAAAAGAGAAACAGAATCAAAACACTCGGCAATCTGTTTGTTTTGTGTTTCGATGCTCTTTCTATTACTTAAAGCACAATTCTTTTCATATGGATTATCAGCTTGGTTTAATCTGATCGTTTAAGATAAATCTTCAAAACCTGTTTGCTTTTCATTTGAAAAATGTGCAACTACAAAATCATTCATTTAAATATTTTTTTAATTGAGCTGTGTACCTCACGTTTTGCTTCTGGCTTTTGAATAAGATGCACTGAGTTAACGCTTAAAGTCATCAGACATTCTAACTATTCTACGAAAAGAGGTTCAAGCCACGAAATCACCTTTAGAAGATTAAGAACTGAACTCTCTGCTGCAAAAAGTTTCTCTGGCGAAGATCCTGCGTTGTGAATTTTGTATATTATAGAATGTTATTTATGTTGTTACATTGCACAATTATTAGTCATCTGGTACACTTTCATTACCAAAAAGGAACACTTCAATTGCCTATGGAATTATCAACATTACAAAAAAGTGAAAGTAATGAAATATGAACTGCTATTAAATAGATCCATATATATATATATATATATATATATATATATATATATATATATATATATATATATATATATATATATATATATATATATATATATATATATATATATTTATTTATTTATTTTTGTGTTGCCTCTGAGTAGTTGCGACATATAGGGATCACTTCTCCGTCGTCTGTCTGTCCGTCCGTCCGTTTGTCTGTCCGTCTGTCCGTCCGTCCGTCACAAAACTTGTCCGGAGTACTCCTCATAAACTATTAGTGCAATTTAATCCAAACTTTACAGGAATGATCAGTACTAAGTCTAGTTGTGCATATTGTCAGCATTTTCCGGTTCAATGATTTTTGTAAGAGTTATGGCCCTTTAATATTTTTTAATTTTTAAAGTTTGTCCGGACTTCTTCTCTTCTACCACTTATGCAATTTGAATGAAACTTTACAGGATTGATCTGTAGCTCAAGTCCTTGCGCATGTTGCACGGATTTTCCGGTTGAATGATTTTTGGCGGAGATATGGCCCTTTGATTAAAAGGAGTTTTTTCTGTGTGTTGCAACATACACAAAAGCTTGTCCGGATTACTTTTCATAAACTACTGGTGTAATTTCATCCAAACTTTACAGGAATGATTAGTACCAAGTCTAGTTGTGCATATTGTCAGCATTTTTCGGTTCAATGATTTTTGTAAGAGTTATGGCCCTTTAATATTTTTTATTTTTAAAGTTTGTCCGGACTACTTCTCTTCTACCACTTATGCAATTTGAATGAAACTTTACAGGATTGATCTGTAGCTGAAGTCCTTGCGCATATTGCATGGATTTTCCGGTTGAATGATTTTTGGCCGTGTTATGGCCCTTTGATATAAATGTGTTTTTTTTGTGTGTTGCCAGATACACAAAAGCTTGTCTGGACTACTTATCATAAACTACTGGTGCAGGTTAATCCAAATTTTACAGGAATGATCAGTACCAAGTCTTGTTGTGCACTGTCCGTCTGTCTGTCTGTTTGTCTGTCACAAAACCTGTCCCAACATGAAATTGGCCATCATGAGGCGACACATGTGATCACTGATCGCTCTTGTTTATTTTTTTCGTAAAATGAAAAATTCACGGATAAGACATATAGGCTCCTGTTAAAATATGAATTAATGTTCCATGATTTCCTAAACATTAAAAAAATAACACCAAAAAAAAACTGTTAATGCATCAGAAACTGAACAATATTTTTATGATTATGCCATAATGGCCGATTATGACCCATTTTTTCAAAAGCTTTTAATTTGTGGAGCCTTGTTATAGTTTTCAGAAAGTTTCTCTTCTGGAAATTACCTGATTCATTTGCTATTATTTCTTATTGAGAAGTACATATATTACAGTTAGAGTAGATTGAGCATTTTGTTTGTATGGAAGCTTAAATATCTTGTAATCCAATTTTTATGGTTTTATTTCATAAATATAATAATCAAATGAAGAATTATCAATATTGTAAGTTCCAAAAAGCATTATTTGTAAAGATATTACCGAATTCACATTTCATTTTAACAAAAGGAGGTATTTGGAAAATTATTTTCTATGAAGTCTAAGACCAATTTTTCAATAAAAAAATTTTTCAATAAAAAAATTAATGTTTATATTTTCATGATTACATATAATGTTTATAAATATTTGCAGTACATATTTTACATATGCTTCGATGTTTGAAAATTGTTTTAGAAGCATTATTATATACATAATTATATGAATTTTCTCTCAAGTGTGGTAACAACTTTAATTACAACAGTATCTTAAGAAGTCACTTTGTTAACATTTACCTACTTTTAGTACAAATTTCACAGTCAGCGATACTTTTCTCAGGTGATAAGCACCTGACATGCTGTAAAACCATTATTTATACGTTATAAAGACAAGTTTATTTTTTATAAATAAGGAAGAAAATATATTCGTTTCTGAGGCTTATTGTGCCTTTAACTTTTGAAATATTATCAGGGAGTTTAGATTGACTATTTTCATTTCGATTGTAAATGTGTGCGTCTCTACATATGCTGCTTTTTGTCTGTAACCTCATTTATCTGTCAACTAACATTTTTGTTGTGAAGTGTAAAATTTACAACTGTTTAGTTTTTTAATGAGGGTAAACGTTTACTATATGAATATATTTTGGTAGATCATGCTACTTTGTTTCATATAAAGTAGATATGTTAATACTGAAAAAGGTTATTAGTCGGTGTAGAGTATTATTCGGAACCAAACAGATTAAAGCAACGAAAAAGTTCACTAAAATGAAATTTGTGTTTATCTTTTTAGAGTAAATTTAAACAGCCAATGTTATGGTACCATGGTACATAGATTGTGCTTTCAACCGATCCGTACCGGGTACCTGATCATACATGAATTTTCGAAACTATCAGGTATCTTATCATACAAGAAAATTCTAGACAAACAGGTATCTTATCATACAAGAATATTCAAAACTATCGAATATCTTATCATACAAGATTATTGGAAACTATCGGGTATATTATCATACAAGAATATTTGAAACTTTTGGGTATCTTATCATACTTGAATATTCGAAAATGTTAAAGTGAAATGAAATCAAATGGAATAAGTAAATGTAGATAAGTTAAAAGAAAAAATGATTATACCTTCAATGTATTACAATTTCAATGTTTATGTAACCGTTTAATATTCCCGATGAACACCACGTGATTATGGATAAACGTTACCCCTCATTAAAGAATATACAAACGATATATATATATGTAAATATGATCAATAATGTTGAATCACATTGTCTCAAAAATTGATATTTCAACCTTCCAAATATAAAAACTTTAATTTAAAAATGTTTAGTCAATTTTTCAAAAACTGTAATAGAAAATATTTACACATTTTATAGAGAAAATAAGTTGATGGAAACTATTTATATGTTGAAATAAATTAAGTATTTGAAACAAAAATGATATTTCGAGAATAAACACTTGTAGCATATTGAGTGTTTTTCTTTTATTGAATGTATAAGTCCAGAAAGCTGAAATTTTAAATAATTTCTTTCCTCAGATGATTTATTTATTTTATTGTAAATAATTGCTTGTCCTTGCTATGTCCAGAAGATTAAAATTATCAAATAAAATTCCATTCTAAACTTTTAAATTTGCCGATACATCGAAAAGAGATCTGATGATAGTGATGCCTGAAATGACTATACGTCATCACCATAATCCATTACCATTAAAAATAGCTTTTGTCATAAAGTAAAAGTAACATGGTGTTACGAAGCAAAAAATGATTAAAAGAATGATCAGCGTCAGAACGATTGTTGTTGCTTAGTTGCTAATGAAATAGACTTTGAGAGATATTGAAATTTAGGCATGCTCATTAGCCGAAATAAGTGAATCGAAAAGTTACGAGATCAATATATATGATTGAATATATATTATTCTACATTGTAACTGTGTGAATCAAGATGTAATTCAAAAGGTTTTACAAAAAAGTAAAACAATAACAACAAAAATGATTTCCTTAGAAAACACCCAAATGGCAAGAAAATAATTCATGCTCGATTCGATTAAGCCTGTTCAGGAACGATTCTGGTATGTACAAGCTGCCATGTACGACCCTGGCATCGGTTCAAGCAGATAAAGGCTGGTATTACTGAATTGTCAGATATGAATACAACACGTGTATAGCACTCATTTAAATATTCGACTCCACTTCGGTTTTGTCCATATAGTTTACGAGAATTTATATGGAGTATATTATATAACTAATGTTGAGAAAAGTCCACTAGCTCAATGTGCAGGCATATCCACAATACCACAGTCGGTTAAAGGATTAAATGATATTATGAGAGGTATGTGGTTCAATTCCTATTTTTGCCATTGATTCTTGATTTTTTACCTATTCATGTTTATATTTTTGAAGTGCATTTAATGAAATGGGCCACATGCTTGAAAATATGGAACATCTTAGAAACACTCATTTGTCTTGTTTTGTATTTTACGCTACTGATGTCACTCCAAATGAATTTTAGATTTAATCCTTAATCCATGTTAATAAAAAAGAGTATAGCCATAACCAAGATAAGTGCAAAATAACCTTAATAACTTCAAAAATAATACAGAAAGAGAAAAGATACAGACATAGACATAAGCGGGCTGGATCCAACAAAACACAGGATATTTAGAAAATATTAACCCCTAGTTTACCCTTTTGTGCTATAACAGTCCGTATATTTATTACCTTAAAATAAATTAAATTGAATTACATCTTACATAAATAACAATTTGATAAGGAATGTTATTTGTCTTGTTTTGTAATTTACGCAATTGATTTTAATCCGAATGAATTTTAGATTAATCCTTAATCCATGTTAATAAAAAAGAGTATAGCCATAACCAAGATAAGTGCAAAATAACCTTAATAACTTCAAAAATGATACAGAAAGAGAAAAGATACAGACATAGATATAAGCGGGCTGGATCCAACAAAACACAGGGCATTTAGAAATTATAAACCCCTAGTTTACCCTATTGCGCTATAACAGTCCGTATAATTATTTCCTTAAAATAAATTAAATTGAATTACATTTTACATAAATAACTCTTTGATAAGCAATGTTTTCACCAGATATATACTGAATTGCAACAAATATTCAAGGTTACCCTTGGAATAAACATTTAAAGACGTTTGCGCATGTGCTAATTTTATAAAGTTTGATTGCAAAATTGGTAAGCTGAATTAAAATTGGACAGCTTAGGCAGAATCGGTCAGCTGAATCTATGATGAAAATCCAGTCATTATATGAAACAGAATTCGAGTTTCACAAAAACATGGGAACAACAGGTCTATGTGGTTGATATTTGTCGATACAAAATATGTTGTAGTCGCAAACCTACTGAGAATTTAAAAAAAACACACACTATAAATTGAAGTTTATCATTAGATGTTTCAATTCCAAGAAATTCGGAAATTAACACCAAAGGCTAATTAGCTGGTCTTGAAACTGAGGATACGGAATTCTGTATTTGTGTATCACTAACAATCAGAAGAGAAATTCCGGTGGGGACTTGCGCTGACAGAGTTTTCAAGAGATGTACTACAGAGGCGCGTTATTGCTTGTAAAAAAGATATAAGATCGCTATATCTTGAACCGGAATCAATTAGATCGCTTACGAACAACAACAGCTACAGTCCCCGGTACTCACAACGCGCGAATGTTCTCCAAGACATTACAGAATAAAAAAAGTCAAGTCAGTAAGCGGCGGTCACACACGCCTCTGGCAATTTTCTTTTAAATTTGATCCTTCAATGTTTCAATACAAATCAAACAAATTAAAATTCATCAGTTAATTATGCTGACCTAAAAGAAACACAAGCAACTCTTTGTGTTAAGATTTATATGACGTTGGCATTGACTACAAAACAATTGTCCAACGTACAAACACAGTCTATTAAATTCGGTTGTTGGTCACGAGAAGTAATCAGGGCATTGGCAAGTTATATAAACCACACCTTTTTCCTCCTCAAATCATCGGAACTACAGCGACCTAAATAGCTAATCATTTCCAACCAACAAAATAATTTAATTTAATTATATTGCGTCGAAACAAACAAGGCTTGTTGCTTCAAACAAAATATGAATTATTAAGGTTACCATTTAAACGAAAATTGAAGAGATATTACAGCGTTCTGGGCTATTTGCGAAAGCACTTAACTAATTTCACAAAACTCTAAATCGCTTATAAATGATTAATTTATGAACATTACTATTTTGTGAATATAAGTGTGAAGTCGTCTAAGTTCTAATAAATGTCATTACTCATGTAGTCAATATCCCTAGGCATGCTTTCGATTATTTTCAAATTATCAATAGTTTCATAAAATTGATTTTGTCCATTACCCACGGTGCATATTTATACATTTTTAGTTACAAGTAGTACGGAATATATTTATACCGTTTGCACAAGGGGATGTTCTTTATCATGACGTTCTTTTACTATAAGTGCTGCACCTCCACAGGTGCTTTTAAAAGGTTTATAATCATTTTAAACTTATAATGCGTTCCAGAATAAAAAAGGAAATTCCAGATGTCCTTTTTCCGGGGGTCGACCTCAATGCGCTTTTTCAGCAACAATTTTACATGCACAGATAGTGACAGTACAGTGCTGACTTAGGGGAATAATTCCCCTAACTTTTTAACCTCAGACGAAACGCATTGTACCTGTTCGTTCTGCGGATATATGTTACCACTATCATTTTAAATGGGTTTATTTTCTAAGGATAATGTTGGAAATGGTTGTTCGGAAATATTTCATGAAAACACACATCTTACTTTCAAATGGGTTAATATAACAGTAATTTACGCAGATTACAAAAACCTTTTAATTGTAGACGGTCAATATTTTTTTAGATATGAAATAGAAGGCCTGGGTTAAAAAAAAAACACAAATGTCTGATCATTTATAGATTCATGTTTTTATACTTGTTTGAGAATATAGAGTAGAGAGAAAAGAATACATCCGATATTAATTTGTATACAAGAAAAATATAATAACGGGCTATATAACATATCACATTTATCTGTACATTATTCATCTTACTGTTAAGAAAATAAATATATTTATCAAATAACTTACCGTACTTATTCAAGTAAAATATAAAACTTTTAAAAAATCGATAAGCATATGTTGTACTTAATTCTTATGTATAAATGTAGTGTTAAATATATGTTTTAATCATAATGCATTTTCGAAAAAAATATTAAGAAGGATTGATGAAATGAAATGTTCATTTTCATTTTCCATATTTTTCTATGTATAAGTTTACTTTTACTGCATGTAACATATTTTCCGTACTTATCCCTGGTGTCGTAACTACTTTCTTCAATATACATATTAAAATAAACAAAAAAATAAATAATCATTTTTAAACAGAGAAAACTTTAATAAACAGGCAATTCAATATTTTTCCTAAAATTGATTATTATCAAATTAGTTCATTTAACATGTGTCTACAACAACTGGTGAAATATTTATTTCTATATCACTGGATGAAATAAAACACGCAATTACAGATAAAACTTCATATCCTCTTTTCATTATATTCTTGAATATTCTTAATATAAATTCAGAAATATTGAAAAAAATATTTTATTACATAAATATGAGTGGTTCCGTTTAATTTATTTTTCACTGCAGTGAAATTATTTTCATATTGTCATTGTTGTCTTGTCGGATTATATTCGTCTTAGTCAGTCAAATCACATAATCATAATGTCGTCAAATTTTAATGCGGAACAAAAGAAAAATGTATACAATAAACAGAAAATTCAAGTTCTTTTTTTTTCTATAAAATTTAATACAGGATTAATTTTCACATTGTGGCATGAAAGTTCTGATATTTCACTTGTCTCGAAATATTTATTTTCATACTAGTTTCAATAGATGAAAACAAATCTGTATTTATTGAAAACAACTCAAACATCATCTATTAAATCATGTATTATCTTCTTTCTAGCGTTTTGAAACAAAAAAAAATGAAAATTCGGTCCTCTCTTATTTTTTATTTTTAATTCGTACATGGTACCATACATGTGTAATCTATTGTTCAAGATATATTTGTTAATTGATAAAAATAAAACAACAAAAATAAATAAATAAATAAGCAAAGCATAATGAAATGAAGTTTGTCAGACAATCAATAAAATTATCGTTCAAATTCTTAAATCCAGGTACTGTGTGATATCTTGTTGATTTCGTCTATCACGTCTGTTGTTTTGTGTTGTTTGTTTCACATATCTGAAAACAAATATTGAAACAACATTAAATTGTTTTATGATACAACTTAGTTTTACGGTGGTCATCATTTATCTTATTGATCACAAGCATTAAAATGAAATAAAAGAATACAGTTTGGAATTATAAAAGCCCTTTTTTCAATATTGTTAAATCAGATTCTGTATGAATGTTCATGAAAAGCGTAAAATGTAAATGTAAATAAAATAACTAGAAGAAAATAACTCTAATAATTGTCATAGCTCATTTATTTCATTCATATAATAATTATAATGCATATCTTCTACACATTTTCACTGTATACTGGCCTTTGCTTAAAGTATTTTATATCTATCCTTTCTTTAATGAAATGAATCGATAAAATGAACAGACCCTGTAACCCTCTGTAATAGCATAGTATAAAGGTGTTATAAAATTAAAACAGTAAGGAAATAACCCCGCCTATTTATAATCAAACGCTTGAATCTGTCTAACTGATCCATAACATTACAGCTGAGATAAGGGTGAACTCACGCCATAATCTATCCAGTCCTACACATTAACCCAATATTTCCAGTTTCCTCCAAAATTTCATATCTCTGATCAGTGATGAGCATTTAATTGTAATTACACGGCTTGCCACTGTATCACTGACAGCAGTACCATTGAATGTTTTATGATCCTATCATGTTTTAAGAATGTATAGTTAAAGCTGGAGGATATAGAGAACATTTTAGAATTAATTGAAAACAAGTTCAAGGGGGGATAATTCTGTAAATATTCATACTACAGTTATGAATCTTATCACACATGATAAGGAACATAAATTTAAAGTTAGAAGTAGATACCTTAAGAAATAAAAAAGTAACATTTTTTTGAGAGAAAAGATAAGTTCATGCACTCGCTGAATAAAATAATATTATGCGAGCCTCTTATTCACTCGTGCAATAAATTCAGTATTGAACTTACACTCATTCAATATCCTCTGTATTTTACGGAAAATTATATGTTCAAGGGGATATAGTTCTGGAAATACTGTGGTTTTAGAGTTTTGCACCTTATCACATAATTTGGATGATAATCAGGAATATATATTTGAAAATGATACCTTAAGAAATAAGAAGAGCTGTCACCCAAGTGACGAATGCCCCTGAAAAGGTTTCAGGCATGCAGGTATTATGAAAAGAAAAGAGAATGAAAGTAACTATTGCTTCATATTGTTCTTTGTTTTATTGTACCTGTCATATATAAATGTGATAGCATGAACCTTCAAGATATAAGTGTGACCTTGACCATTGACCTTTAACTATTGAACTTTATTTATTGTAAATTTAAAAATTTATCGTGTGTTATAAAGTATATTTACAAATAATTGCTAAGTTTCACAATTCAATTAAGCTGCAGACCCGGTTGAAAAAGAATGAAGAAAAAATACATTGATAAATTTAGTAAGTGTATCTTCTACAGAAATTTGACCCTTCAATTTTAGGGCCATTAGATAATAATACAGAGGGCCAATTAATAATGACAAAACTCTCAACTCAGTGGACGTGTTAATGTGAGACGTACAGTTAATAGTGATTTACTAGCTGATAAGCCCTTACTGAGATTCAGCAGGCTGGAAGGGTTAATGCGTAGGACTGTATCGGCTTGTCGAAGTTCATGACCTCTTGTGTATTATTTTACAAGTGTCTGAAGTTTGTATTAATTTCAACAAGGCATATAAGATATAAAGATACGATTTTCAGGGTACTCACTTATTATTTTCTACACATGTCCTTTACAGATAGATACAAGAGAATATGTATTCAGATATTTTTATTCGAAATGTTCAAATTATATCGTTTAAATTATCTCATCCATATGTTTATATCATTCTTTTTGTATCTAAATGTATTAAAATGAATTTCTTATAATGTGCAAAGATAAAGAAAATGTTACTTAATTAATATGTTCTTAAAAAAAAAAAACGATTTCTGCTCATTTTACATTTTTCTTGCTTCCAAAGAAACTAACCTTCTTTGCTAATTTGGGTGTCAATATAGTCGAAAATCGACAAAGAAGTGATGTGCAATTTACATGTATATGCAACAATATATTGCATAAGAAGTCAACTTATCAACCACCATCCCTAAAAGATTTTCACATCATATTCTGAATTTATATCAAATACTAAAAAAAATATAAAATTATAAACAATCACTACATGACAATGATAATATTTATGATTCTGAACTGAGAAAAAACTGAAACAAATACCTTAAATTTGCATCTGATGATCGCATAACTTTTTGCTCAGTTTAAGTGCAATCCTTTTGATTATAAAACAATAACACTCTGCCACATTCTTACAAATGTACAAATTATACTTCTGAACATCAATTCTTCCATGACGGTGAGATAGCGATAAAGCCCGCTAAATTCGTTCCAGATTTTATTACACACATAATTAAACGAATGCCGCGCTGACCGCATAAAGGTAGCAAATCCTCCTGTCCACCAACAGAAGAATATTTCAACGATAGAGTAATGTAGGAAGGGAAATGTAACCAAAAAGAATACACATAGTTGCAGATTGCCTAGATTATATATGGCAATTGTGTTTTGCTATCAAATCTGTAACAAGATACCAAAAACTAGACATTTTTTAAATAAAAATGGCAGCATGTCTCATGCAAATTGGACATTTAAGAAGTACTTATTGCAGGGGTTATGTATTTATGCGTATATATCTAGATTAGATTTTACGGCACTCTGAAGTTCTATCTTTACAAATGTTATTATTTACTCAGAATACAAAACACGTCACTATGAATTAAAATAGCAGCTTGTATAAACATTCAATGAGAAATGAATTACAAATAATTACACCTATTTTCTTTCTCGATTTTCTAAGATGATAGTTTTTATACACCACATTGTTAGTAAGATCAGCAATTGTTAAGATTTACTGATACTTTTAAAAAATAGATTTATATTTCTTTAAGTAGGAAAAGTTAAACATTTTGATAATAATGTAAATTTTGTCTATATTCTTGTTGTCTAGAGTGCATTTTTTTCTATTCATAGGAAAATCATGCTAGACTGTAAGGTCACTCATTCGCGAGCGAGAAGAAATGTCAAGATTGTAATCAGCCTTGCATGTAACATACAGTACCGCGCAAAGATATGGAGGCATCCATCTGCAAATTGAACGTTACGTTATTGTTTTGCCGTTTTTACATTCATTAAAGACATTGAATATACAAATAGAACTTTAAAACAACGAGTTACGCATTTCAAACTATAAGAGTGGTTCAAACAGTACCATAGATTTAACCATCAACCGTTGCTAACCCTATTTACCTTACATGCACCATGAATTTATAAATACAATAAATAAGTTGCTCAAAACTTCGCTTGTGCCCATGATACGCATTAATGAGCGGTTTGTTTAACGATGACATTATATGTTCAGATGAAAAAAGATCTCAAAATTAATTTAGACATTGAATATTCTGACAGATTATAAGATATTCTGTCACTTCTAAAATTTGTCTTTTTTTCTGATGAAATTAATTTACGGAAACAATCTTATGCAGATTATTTCAAAGTAATGTAAAGTTTATAACGTTTTTTACGGATATATGTTTATGTCAAAGAGTCGACATGTTTGAGTCTTTAATTATCATGTGCTCACGAAATACTAAGTGGGGCGAACGAGATACTATGTCATGGCCACGAGATAAGTCGTGCGCACGAGATCCTATGTCGTAACAACCTGCTACTTTTTGGTGCACTAGAGATAATTAAGTTGGGCCCACACTATACTATGTCTTGGCCACGAGTTACTAAGCTTTGCTTACGAGATAATTAAGTCGTGCCCAGGAGATAATTAACCAATCAGATAGAATTATATAATTAGGAATTATATAAATTCTGGTTAAAATTTTACATGCAACGTTAATCTATTACACTACTTAAGATATCCACTTCAAACAGTATACATGACTAAAGGATCATAAGAATAGGTCACTATCCAAGACCAGTAAATCAGATTTTAATCTTTACTAAGTTTTGCTCTTTGTGGGGAACATTATTTGATAGGATTGATCAGTATGTACGTACTTATTGCCTGTTGACCTTTTCCATACCATAACTTGAGAAGAAATTAGCCCCGGTTTATTTTATTTAGTAATTCGTGGCCACGACTTAGTAACTCATGGATATGACATGATATCTCGTGCGCACCACTTAATTATTTCATGCGCACGACTTAGTAACTCGTGGCCACGACATAGTATATCGTGCGCACGAGATAAATAAACATACACAAACATGTCACCTTTTTGCCACCGTACGTAAATCAGCTTACGAACCAATTATGTGAAGAAATATATATTTATATAGCATTTATTGTAAGGGATGGATGCATCGATATTTTTAATAGCATAACAGACTTCATACATGTATCCAAAGCGAGGTATAAGCCAAAAAATACCTATCCTTTGTGTATTACTTAAAAAATAAAAACGTCAATTAATCTATAAATGAAGTAAATAAATCAAAACAACACATTCAATTCATTTCGTCTTTGAAACAAAATAAATACATTCAAATATTACCGTTTAAGCGGTAACGGCAACGTGACATTAAAATATAAATAAAGATCAATGATTCTATGTATAAAATATACATATTTTTTCAAAAAGAAAGTTGTAGTGCACCAAATATATTTATATGTACGATAAATAGAAAAGATAAGTAATAAAACTAACAGAAAAATAACGTCTTGGTTCAACAGTTATTAAAAATAGTAATGAATATACACAAAGTGTGTCTTACCAAAAGAAAATTAGTACTGTGTAAAGGCAAACATGTGAAAATCTGAGAAAACAATACGAAATTGTCATTCTTTTAAATACTCATTTTGCCTCAGAAATGCTTTAATCTTTAGCATTTTACAAGCTTCTTCATTTTGGTATACTTTAATAGTATCCTAAAATTTTCTCATTGGCTAATTACCCGGAACATATTTTTAATTTGATTATTGCAGGTCATTAGTAAAAGTATAGTTAATTATTCTTTTGTATAATGTGCCTTTAACAATCTATTCCTGTTGATATGTTAAATATCAATAGGAATGAAACGATTCTTCTGTAGAATGAGCTTCACTATTAAAATGAACAGCCTCATAACTTGAATTATTGGAACGCTATATTGTTCAAAACTTGCTCTCAAAACTATATCTCCATAAAAGAATGATCATGTTTGATATGTAAGAGAGCTCGTTATCAGTTATAGATCAATGTACACGTGTCAATATATGTTATTTGATTCGTTACTTCTTGTTGTTTTTTTGTTGTTGTTGTTGTTTTGACACGCGTATTGCAATTCTGTGTATTATCTGTGCGTATTATATTTATATTCTGACATATGTGGGGTGGAACTGTTAATTAGATAATTTTGTGGCCGAATAAATTAGAGCATACTTATTATAACGTTTATTGTCATAAACTTATTAACAATATAATGTAAATCACTAATAAGCTTTTCTTAAGTAAATTATGTTCTAATCGTCGACTCTCCAGTTTATTTATAGTAAATGTCTACACGTTCATTACTTTTTTAAAATATCTTCATGTATTTCTGTGTAAATTTGATTATAACTGTATATTCCAAACTCATCAATTATAAATCACGATCCCGTTGACTTCTGACAGATACAAAATTCGCATTACGCTAATTAAATTATGCATGCTTAAACATTAATGACTATTGTAACTAAGTATAACATTAAAGGTCATTGACTAATTTACATTATCGGCTAATCATTAGTAAATCATTCCTAAGGTAATTAGAAGTGGTCCTGTTTTGTTAAACACCTCCTTTTGTCCCAATATGAAATGACATTCGTTTCTGTCTTCGCTTTACATAAAATGAGTGTTTTCATATCCTTTTTAAATATATTAATTTGGCGTTACATGATATGCGAGATAATTGTACACTTTGAGCATAAATGTATATTCTTGCAGGCTCTGGTATTAAGTATTACTTTCATTACAATATTCAAAACAGTCTGAATGCATTATCGTTATTTTGATTAATGATTTTACAAGTGTAAGGAGCGGAAGGATAGTTGTACGTGAATACAGTGTTGACATATCTTTTTTACTTAAGCAAATTAATTATAAATAACAATCACTGTGCCACAATATATCATTACAAACTTTGATGGAAAGTATATAAAACTTCTTGAGTGAATCACACAAATAGTGACTTATTCTGTTTTCTAATCAGCAATTCAAGTTTAAATCTTTGAGGTAGGCTGTATGAGAGATCAGATAAATATTATGAACACTACCGAAATAAAAACCTTACAATATTTATAAATGTGTAAAGAATGAAATGTTAAACAAATAAAGATAGAGCATCAATGAAGTTATTTTTAAAAAAAAAAAACAACATTGTAAATAGTAAATAAATAAATAAGAAAAACACAATAGCCTACCCCCCCCCCAAAAAAAAAAAAAATCAAATAACCTTTATCCACGTGTATTATTACTATACCGTTGTAACATTTAATTAGGGGTCAAATCGAGTTTATAACACAAATAACGGGAGAATTGATAATTACCCTAGAGATAACCTCTACTGTGGTGCCAAATTACCGCATTCAAATGAAAAATGTGCTCATCTTATGCTAGAACCAATGAATGTTTTTCCCTGTTTCGCAATGTAAGTTATTAGTTCCTGGTTTAAATGTTTGATAACCCATTTCTGACTTATCTGTATGTTTGATCTTTGTGGGCAACATGTTCAGGGTTCCACAGCACAAAATGTGTCCACTGGTTATTTTTCTTCTTTGTTTAAAATGCCCCCCCCCCTTTAAAAGGAAGAAGAAGAACGGCAACAACAAAAATCAAACAACAAACAAACAAAAACAAAACATTAAAACACACGTCTCTAGGTTTTTGAATAAATAATGATTCAAGTCTTTATTTTGTTCAAATTTGTAGTTTTGTATATGAATTTGCAAAATTAAATTATATTTTGCTTAATTTAATCCTGTAAATAATAATAATGATAATAATAATAAACATTCTACAGACCGTTTGAAACTCTACATGTGTGTGCTCTATGCAACTTTTAATCGGAATTCAGTAATGATTATTTTCTTGACTCTCGGTGTATTTCGAATTTTGTGGTGGTAAATCATATACATGATAAATGTACAAATAAAAAATGATATCCAATTTATAAAAACATTTCTAAATCACAAAAAAATGAAAGGCGATGATATAATGGTGATTTACATTATTATGAAATGGTCTGCACACATGTATATTTCAATAAAAGAATAGAAAGGATGTGTTTTACCAGTCTTCTCTTTTACGATGCAAACGTAATTAAAAAGTACTTATCGTTCAAAAAATATATGTTTAAGGGAACAAAGACTTTATTTACATCGACTATACGCCGTGAGATCCGCAAAGCTTGTTGCAAAACTATTTAGTTAAGTATTTTCTAAAGTTCGTTCTAATTCTGGATTTGATTATAAAAAGTGTATTTTTTAACATGATAATCCTTCGCAGCCTTGAAATATTGAGGGCAAATGTGTTTTGTCAGTCCAGTGTTGGATATAATTCATAAAACATTAATCAATATAAAACACATCCTAGGTTCTAACTTAACTTTGTGTCAGCGGGCCTAAAACATTCGATGTGTGGCGTATTAATTAAGGTATTATTGAATGTCGTCCTGCACGACATTATTGTTGTGAGTGCACGTGTTTGGTAGTTTAAAGTCTTTCTAATTTGTGGTTTTCTTAGTCGGGTGGTTCCAATATACCTAACTTAAATAATGTCGAATCACCCTTTGTATAAGTTGCCTGCTTTCTAACTTTGTTTTTTGACAGCTTATCTATTCATAACCTTACATCCCCCGTTTATCATAGAACGTTCAATAGAACAAGTTAATGCTATTCAACAAAAAGCGGCATATGGTCCCGTGTGCCCTAAAGGAGAAAGCAATGGGTGGGAACTGAATAAAATTGAATGTTGAAGGGGGATGTAAGGTTATGAAGGCTGTATATTAACATAGATAAGCTGTCACAAGACAAAGTTAGAAAGTAGGCAATTTATACTAAGGGTGATTCAACATGATTTAAGTGAGGTATATTGGAACAACCCACCTAGGAAAACAACAAATTAGAAAGACTTTAAAGTTGCATTTAGCGAAACGCGTCAATAATAGTGTAGACGCGTTTAAATAAAATACTTTGTTGAACTTTTTACGTGTAAATAAGGTATAAATCATAATGCACAAATATTTTGTTACTTTGAAATAAAAAAAAAAGATATAAATGAATAGAAATATTGATATTTTATTTTTATCAACAAAATCAAAATGAAAGCTGTTGTTTTTAATGTGACTATTCAATTATATTAAAACAAATATGCTTGTGAAAATAATCGTCGAAAGAAAAGTGGTAAAATAAAGATAGGCTGTATGGTATAAACAAGGGTCAAGAGAGGGTCAAAATGGCCTAAATGAAGATAGCAAAACGAGATATTACCTCAATTAACGCAGTTTTAGTAATTCATCAGAGGACGATTTGCACAAGCTTTTCAAATATTTTAAAAGAAGTTTTGTAAGATATATCTATATACTAATAAGATCAATGAGTCCTAAATCTTAAAACTTACGAAATTTTCAAAAGATCATTACATGTAGCATTATGTTTCTTTATTCACATTCATTGATTCTTATCATTTTTAAGAGTATCAACCGCTCGTGAAAGTATCTTAACTACTAGAATGCCAACTTATCATATAGGACCGTTGTTTTGTGATATTGTTTGGTGTACATGTAATGAATAACATGCAGTATATGGTTGATACGGTGCATTAGGACTTTTGTAAATATCACGGCGTTTTACAACGATACCAGTCATAGACGCTATTGTCAAATAATTTAATCTAACTGTTTCACAATCTTTTTTTAATGTACAAATTTTTTTCTTCTGACCTGGTGTAAATAAGGCATTGGCTGTTTTTGACCCAAACTTGTCTTTGATTCAAAAGTGTACCAGTTCATGTAAAATGTTGAATTCTGCTTAAGCCGGTGCTAGGGGGCGTGGATGGTAACTTGCACTTTCCAGTACCGTCCATGAAAAGGCTCAATCAAACCGAGCCGTGTTGGGCTTACTTTAGGGATTCTGTTTTTCTCTATTTCACCATCGTCTTCTATACTTGTAGTGTAAATGCGTAACTTATATACACCTCTCAATCACGATCATGACACATGAATAATTTGCAGATAATGTTTAATATTCAATAATAGTAGATTGGAGCATTTTCTTCAAAACCAAGCTTTTGCACAATACCGTTTTATTTTTGGAATGGAGTCCTGCATTAAACAAAGCTTATTGCATTGTAAATAAAACGTTTTTTTGCCACAAAAAAAGATAAATATTCTCTTTTAATTCAAAATATGAAAGGCCGAGTTTGACTTAAAATCTGCATTGAGCGAGTTTGCAGTTTAAGAGCAATTCAAAATAATATTGAACTTATGACACTGTGACCTGTAATTAAATACGTAAACTGCACTCTTTGTCCCGAGAGTTTGATATATGTCGAATTATTAAGATTGAATAATTCTGAATCTGGAAGGGATCATTTATTAGTGTGGCTGCCAGATATTATATTAAATTTATTTAAAACATACTTAGAAACATTCTGGAATAAACAAACAGAAATATTGGTTACTGAAAGATATTGTCAAACCGTGATGTGAAACAATATCGATAAACAGTTTTTGATTGCGTTTTCGTTTTAAATTTGTATGGGTTATGTTAAGGCTGTTTTATGCTGATTAGATACAATGTAAGTTACATAAATACTTTTAATACGTCTACAAGCCACAAAACATTATATCAATACTTTCAACGGAGTTTTATTGTGTTGCTTTATGTTGCTGTGCCCGAAGGTATTCACAACTTACCGATCAATTTGATCAAATTAATTTTGAAAACATAAAAATTGACCGGATGATAAGCATGTTGTTTGAAAACATACGGGTGTTTGCAAAATATACATATTAAATCACATACATTTCAATGTTGGAATGGCATTTAGCACATTATAGCGTGTGAAACATGTAAATATGATTAATGTCGTTATTTTATTATAGAACGG